GCGGAAGCGGAAGAGGAAGAAGCCGGTAATGGTGGCGATGAGAGTGGCGGAGGAGGTGGAATTGGGAGAGTCGTCGGTGAGGGTGGGGGCGATGTGGCTGACGTGGCCGAAGATCAGACCGTCGACGGAGCCTTGGGAGGTTGAGAAGCGTTGGATCATGGAGGCTAGGGCTGGCCCTGATATTGCTACTTTGTCGATGGAAGGGTCTTCCATTGCATTAGAAATTTGAGCTCTGAGGAGAGAGAGCGAGAGAGAAAGAGCTCTTACAGAGAGTCTCAGGCTAGTCACCAGATTGCGCGAACAAGCAGGAGTGAATTAAATGGCAGTTGGGTTGGAATGTAATTTTACCATATTGCGCAAAAAATATAGGCAATATCAAATTTGTATTTATTTTTTTATTTTTTAAAATGGCATTTTATTTTAGGTATAACATGAAAATATTTGATTAGAAGAGAGTGATGGGAAAGTAAGTGACACTAATTTGGTTGTCGACACTTTTAATTGCTGCAATTTCATAACTTAATAGACTTCTGTTTGTTTAAAAGAAACACAACTTGGATAAAAAGAATACATTATAATTTATTATCATCCTCAACCAAAAGAATCAAACAATGACCTATATTTACATATACTATTTTGTAAAGAATTTTCAATGCCTACTTCTTCCTAAACCTGTGAACAAAGTAATTTTATAACAAAACCCTCCTTTATAATAATAAATAATAAAACCCTGACTCTCATTTGTTGTTGTTGTTGTTGATGGTGACAAACCCTTTTTACTCAGTCGTTGATGGTGGTGGTACTACTCCTGTGCCTTCTTCAGCAGAGCCAACATTTGCCTCAGGCTGCTGAATCTCCTCTAGCTGATGCAGAACTTCCTGAGCTTCTGGTCGCGCCGCTGGCGATGGATCCACGCAGTGCAGAGACAGTTTCAATGTGTTAAGCAGCACATCACCTATGGTTGGCACATCCCTCACGAGCTCCAAATCGAAAACTTCGTTTGTCCACTCCTCTTTCACAATGGATGCCACCCACTGGGGCAAATCCATGCCGTTCATTGGTTCCCCGGGAGACTTCCCTGTCAGGAGCTCCAATATGATCACCCCAAGGCTGTACACATCAGTCTTTGTTGTGCTCTTCTTGGCCTTTGAGAGCTCTGGTGCATTGTAGCCAAGGGTTCCTGCAGTGGCAATCACATTGGTGTTTGCAGCCGCCGTCATGAGCCGAGAAAGGCCAAAGTCTGCAATGTGAGCGTTGGTCTGCTCATCTAGCAGTATGTTGCTGGATGTGAGATTCCCATGTATGATGTTTTCCTGGTTGTGCAGGTGGCAGAGTCCACGCGTCACACCGATCGCTATGTTCATCCTTGTTGGCCAATCAATGATGGTTTCGGGCCCTCGAGCTGCATAAGATGCTACATTAGCATGTTGGCCAGCATTTACAGTATATAGTTGTATCAAACAATCAGGAAAACCATGAGCTATAGTTGAATCAACTTACCATGAAGGAAGGATGCAAGACTGCCATTAGGCATGTAATCAAAGACCAGAAGCTTCTCTCCCTTAGGTCCCAAGTAATAGGCCCTCAGAGCTAGGAGATTTGGGTGCCGGATCTTCCCAAGTGCCGCAGCTTCAGTTTCAAACTCCTTTTGACCCTTTGTAGTCTTTTCCCTCAACCTCTTCACTGCAACTTGATTACCTTCCTCTAATGTTGCCTTATATGCAGTCCCATATGTACTCCTTCCCATTATCTCAGCAGCGGCACACAATAGGTCATCCGCTGGAAACTGGCCCATCAAAGTGAACAAGCTTTCCACCAGCTTCACCGCCATATTCCACTCCGGTGGTAGCAGGAGCCGCCTTGTCAGTGCTCCCAGCAGCAGCCTGCTTGACAGTTTGATCCTTCTTTCCTTTTGAAGCAGACCTTTTCCTGACCAAGCAAACAAGCAAAATGCAGCAGAGTAGAAGCAGAACCGCTAGGAGGGCACCTGCTGCTATGAGAATTATATCTTTCGTACTTAGTTTGTGGTGATGCTTTTTCTTCAAAGGCCGTGTTGGTGGAGATGGAAGACTCTGAGGTGGGGGAGAAGAGCAAGGAGTTGAAATGTTATAGCCACATAGCTGAAGATTCCCCACAAAAGAGCTGGAATTGAACTTTTTGGAGAGGAGGGATGGGACTGGGCCAGAGAGATTGTTGTGAGAAACATTGAAGGAAGTGAGATTGGCTACGCTGCCAAGTGAAGCAGGAATTTCTCCACTGAATTTATTTTTAGATAAATCAACTTGGTAAATTCCAGAAATATTCCCAATAGATGCTGGAATATGGCCACTGAAATTATTCTCCCTCAGGTTGAGTACTGAGAGGTTCTGCAATCTGTCAAGGCCTTCTGGAATTTCTCCACTGAATTTATTTTCAGATAAATCAACTTGGTAAATTCCAGAAATATTCCCAATAGATGCTGGAATATGGCCACTGAAATTATTCTTCCTCAGGTTGAGTACTGAGAGGTTCTGCAATCTGTCAAGGCCTTCTGGGATGTGGTTATCGAGGCGATTGCCCTCTAGATTCAATGAAACAAGGGAGGAGAGGTTGGAAAAGCTAGAAGGAAAGCTTCCATTGATAGCATTGTTGGATAAGTCTAGCTTTTGAAGCCTAGTGAGCCCCCCTAGTTCATTGGGTATGGTCCCAGTAATCTGGTTATTGTTTACAGAAATCTCTTCAAGAAAACCCAATTTGCTCAGAGAACTTGGAATAGTTCCAGAGATCAGATTATGATCAAGGGTCAGGATCGCAAGTTGGTAGCTTCTATTTCCTGTTCCAGTACCCCAAGAACTTGGAACAGAACCAGAGAGGTTGTTGTGTTGGAGAGCAAGGATGGTGAGAGAAGGTGACTTGGTGAGACTAGGTGGGATAGTACCAGAAAGTGAATTGAAGCTCAAATTGAGCCTGAACAACTTGGTAGAGTTTGCAAGACTAGAAGGAATTGTACCAGTAAGTGAATTGTTGCTTAAATCAAGAGTTTGAAGAAGAGGGCAGTTACCAATTGAAGGAGGTATAAAACCCGAAAGCCGGTTATGGAAGAGGTAAACCCCTCTGAGATTGCGAAGGAAGCCAAGAGACCAAGGGACAGGGCCAGCCAAAACGTTGTCGTGGAGGCTGAGCTTTCGAAGTGCTTGCAGCTGCCCAATCTTCTCAGAGATTCTGCCCCCGAGTCTCTTCCATGGAAGCTGGATTGCAATGACCTGTCCCTTGACGCACTTGATTCCTGCCCACCCACCTGAGCAGGCTCCATAGCCGCTGTCATTCCAGCTGCGCAAAACGCCATTGAAATCGATGAGTTCACGCTTAAATGCTCGAAGCGCTTGGTAATCGGATTTGGTGACAACCACACCATCTCCTTGCTGACCCAAAACAGGTTGGTATGTCAGAGCCAGAAGCTGAACAAAGAGCAAGGCATACATGAACATAAACAAATTATTAAAGCCATGCATAATCTGAAATGGACAGAACTTATTTTCCATGAACATCAAAGAAATGCGATGTTGAAGAAGATGTTCAAGAAAATAAGTGAATGCAAATGATGAAGGAACTGAAAGCTTTTCTAGTTCAGCTCAAGGTCTTTACAGTTGTAGTAAAGAGAGAGAGAGAGAGAGAGAGAGAGAGAATCTTTAGAGGTGATGAACAACGAATGAAAGCTAAATAAGAGGGGAGAAATAATTGAGGCGGTTGGTGCATGTGAGAATCTGAGTGGGTTGAGACAGGGAAGAAAATATTGTATTGGAAAAGAGACGAGGTCGGAGACACAGTCAGGGTGGGATGGGGTCAATGTCCTGAGTTGAAGACTACTTCGTCATCGTTGTTTATCTTTAACGGCTAGTTTTTTTCTCTCTCGTGCATTTCCACCGTATAACGGCTGGGTTGAAAAACCGGGTTCTCTTCAGATTCTCCAACGGCTATATTTCATAGGCCACATACCCGGCAATTTTGGCATCCAGTGAATTATCCACTTGGTACTACCATACCAGGGGGTACAGCCAAAATGACTGTAATGACCTCGGTGGATCTGGATTCTGGATGTTGAGAAACTCCTTTTGCAGACGTCCTAGACCGATTCAAGCTCAATGATGTCCATTAAAGTTTGTCTGGCAATCATTTGTTTCAACTATGAATTTTCCCTTTTGGATGGCATATGCATTTTAACAGCATCGTACTTTTGCTTTCTGGTAGGGTTTAAAAATTACAGTAATTGACATGATAGGACTTCGTAATGATTAACTTCAGACTTCTGGTAATCATTGTATGCAAATCGACATAATCATCGTTATAATAGAGCTTTGTTTTGTTCTGCCTTGAGCAAATTAAACAACAGGGATTCAGATTTCGTGCAAAACGTGCAAGATTTATCTAGTAATCAAATTTGTAATTTTTTCAAACATTGTTCTTTAACCTGATATTCGATCACTGTGATCAGTTGGCACGATGGATATATATGTGCTATCATCAAAACCAATACAAAAGAGCATTGGCAGGTTGAAAGTACATAAACTGACCAAAGAGAAACACAAGGCTACTTCCATCACGATGACAAAGGCACTTTCACCATCGTTTAAGAACAAAAAGCGCACAAGGGAGGAGGATGACAACCCAGATTCAATATTTGCACAAACATAAACTTAACAGTTCATCAGCCTCCTTCATCAGGGCCCTGATGTGTGAACCGAACTAAAACTTTTCCACTATGCCAATGGTAATACATCACTTTTATCAAAATAAATACTGCGACTAACAAAGTACAGAGCAATCACGGGAAATCTGCAGGTCTCATAAGCACTCTTGAATATGGGGGATTCTTCAACATCTACTATATGGCTAACATGAATTTCACGTTCTATGTGACTCATTCATCTAACCAGATTCTTTAAAGCATGTAAAAGTTCAACCAAAATGTTCTTAATGTCTAAAATTTTCACTTGTCATGAACTCAATAGAGGCAAAGAAATTGGTGAAGCAACCGAGACAAGAATTCACCACAGGGTGGATGCCCCCATGATGACTAAATCTTAAACATCATCAAGACCAGGTATCAGCAATGGCATCACATATCAATAATGTCATGATCCCAGCTTGTAAAACGAAGTGAAACCTTGAATCAGGCATGTTAGACTATCCCACATTCCAGTGCTAGATTTCAAGTGACATTGAGTACATAGATCTATTGGCAATCTAAATCCTAACCAAAGCACATCTGAATTGCATCAGAAATATGTATATATTACAGAAAAGTGTCAACATTTCTTCAAGTATTTGATTTGAACAAAAGACATTGTAGAAGAAACTAGAATACATGCATTCATCCAAATGAACTAAGAGGCATACAGATCTGAAACTCATATTCATAGAGATAAATTATATAATGCAGATTTGCAGAGAGTAGAACAAAAAGAATCATTTATATCAATGATCTGTGGCAGTTACAATTTGTACTCGACAAAATCAAATCAAGAAATAGAGGGACAGAAGTTCGATTGATAGATCCACCGAAGAACCATGGAAAAACATGAATTTTCTATCTAAATTAGAACGAAGATACACAGATCCATACAAATTGCGCACAACAAAACCCACCCTAAATATGTTTGTAGGACAAAAACGTCAACCTTATTATTACTTTTTTCTTTTTTGTTGTCTGAGAACAAACTATAATATGAATTTAACTACTTATACCATCATCATCTTGAGCGCGATTCAACGACAATGGGGAGGAGATAGATAAGATCAACCGCGAGCGGCGATGACGGCCGGGGCTGTGGCGGCAGCGACATTGGAGGCAGCGCCGTTGAGGAAGGAGAGGAAGCCAGTGGAGGCTGTAGGCTCTTGCTCGTCCAAGAAGAGGTCCTCGGGAACCCTAAAGGCGCCGTGAGCGAAGACGACGGCAGCGCCGACGAGGAGAGCCGAGATGAGTAGGGATCCGACGGAGGTGAGGAAGACGACGAAGATGGAGAAGGCGATGAGGCCCCAGAGGGTCTGGGTGTCGGAGAAGGTGCGGCCGAAGATGACGAGGGGCTGATCGGAGGGCCGGAAGAGGTAGAGGAAGAGCCAGCCGGCGAGGAGGCCGAGGAGGACGAGGAGAGAGAAGGGGTGGGTGAAGAGGGAGACGGCGACGATGAGAGCGACGGTGGCGAGGTAGTTGACGCGGAAGTAGGAGTAGTTCTTGCGGACGCGGCCGGTGGCTTCGGAGAGCGACTCGGGCTTGGCGAAGGCAGAGCGGTCTAAGAGCTCGGACCAGGGGCGGCGCTGGGAGAGGCCGTTGCGGAGATTTTCCGAGATGTGGGTGAGGAAGGCGCGGAAGGCTGGGGTGGCGATCGGGGCCTGGGATTGGACGGAGCCGGCGGTGGTTGTGGACGTGGTTGAGACCGGAAGGATCGGAGGGGGGGGTGGGTTCGAC